TTTTGGATCAGATGTAAACTATCTTTTTCGGCATTTAAATGTCTTCATAACATGACCTCTTCCTATCTTTTCAGTATTTCTGTTTATTATTTCCTACAGTGCACCCTGAGATTCAGCTATCCTGTCCTGCCAGCTGTCTCACATTTAAAATGGTCCATCTCCCATCTCTTTGTCTTTATTCTGACTGCCTCCCATGCCTGTAATAGGGTCCTTTCTCATTTCTGTCTCTTAGAATCCTTGGCTTCCTTTAAGACTCAGATAAAGTGCTACCTTCTACATGAATCCTTTCCTGATTCCTTTAAATGCTCTAGATGCAAAAAACCACCTTGTATTCATATTGTGAATGTGTAGCAATAGTCTGCATGCAGTTTTTTTTAATTTTTCTTTTTTAGGCAATTGGGGTTAAGTGACTTGCCCAGGGTCACACAGCTAGTAAGTGTCAAGTGTTTGGTCTGAGTCCGGATTTGAACTCAGGTCTTCCTAACTTCAGGGCTGGTGCTTTATCCACTGTGCCACCTAGCTGCCCCAGCATGCAGTTTTAAGTGACTTAAAATTAAGCCTCAATATTATCAAACTTAAAACTGCATGGAGATTTTTGGTACACCCTACAAATGTGAAAATGTTGTCTCCCTATTAGAATGTAAGCTCATAGGATAGGGGAACTGTTTCATTTTTGTCTTTGTCTATCTCCAGCACTTAGCATAGTGACTAATACACATTAAGTATTTAATAGGATCATAGATCCTTTATTTTACAAATGAAGAAACTGAGGCACAGAGAGATTAGGAATTTGCACACCATCACACAGCTAGTGTCTGAGGCAGGATTTGAACTTGTTGGTTAATTGACCATCCCTCTCAGGTTCATTGCGTCTGAAAACCTGACAAGTATGCTATCTAGGTCTTCCTCCAAAGTCAGCAGTTCTTAAACTTTCTGGTCTCAGGACCCCTTTACACTGTTAAAAATTATTGAGGACCCCACTGATGAACTTTTATTTCTGTGGATTATATCTATTGCTATTTACTGTATTCAAAATTAGAACATCTTAATATGATTATGAAACTAGTTTTTGACCCTGAAAGGGTTTGGGTGAACTCCAGGGGTCCTTAGACCACACTTTAAGATCGAAGTCATTGGTTCAGATTTAGAATCTAGCCAATAGCTCACAGATGCTTGGATTCTTTAAGAGTCTGGCTAATATGGCGGATCTTTAATAAATCTTGTCTCTGGCTAAAAGAAGGCTTGGGTCGAATTCTTTTGTGCAGGAATTGCATGTCATGATTTCAGGGTCCCAGAACCCCTATACCTCAACATTTTGGTGGACTGTATGGGGAAACTGCCTAACCCCAAGTTTTTCTCCAGCCAAGACTGGAAGGTATGTAAGCCTCTCTCCCTGCCCCCTTCTTGTTCTGCAATTGGGGTCACTCTCCAAGCACCAAGGCTTGGAGGTGTTTTCGAGCAGACAGTTACAAGGCTGTCTCCCACTCGCTGATTTTCTCAGGCTCTTGGTCCATTGGGTTGGTTTGAGGCCGTGAACCTGGGTACACCTTCCACAGCATAAAGGACAAGGACAGACACCCTATCTGGAAGTGTATGCCCAATCCTGTCAAATCTCTCGGTGCTAGGGAATTGGGGAAAATTGCAGTTGCATTTTTGGCTCTCTGAGGCTTACTTACTCCCTTCCCTCTATACCTCTAAATCCTATTTCATGGAAGTTACAGGAAAAAGGTAGAACAGCTAGGGGCAGCTAGGTGGCACAGTGGATAGAGCTCTAGCCTTGAAGTCAGGAGGACATGAGTTCAAATCCAGTCTCAGACACATGATACTTACTAGCTGTGTGACCCTGGGCGAGTCACTTAACCCTGATTGCCTCACCAAAAAGCAAAAAAAAAAAGTTAGAACAGCTAAAAATATCTTGGCAGATTGTGGAGGTTTTGTGATTGCTCATTAAGGAATTTTGAAACACCTTCTTACAACTCTGGTCACTCCCTTCCCTTGAGTCAAGAGGATATCTGTTAACCCCTCTCATAGAAGAAAGAGTTTCACCCTTTCCTCCCTCTCCTTTTTATACCAGAATAAATTTAAATTTGAGATGTAAATCCTGAAAGAGTTTTTCCTAAACTGTGATTAGTGAAACTTGCTGTTTGAGGTAAAAAAAAGCTCACGAGATTTTATTTTGAGTTGTCTGATGGATCATAATAATCCATTGATGATCAGTAATCTACCATCTGAGAAATTCTACAAACTGCTCAGAGAGAATGTGATACTGATGGGAAATCAACAGCAGAAAAAGCTGAGAGGACAGTTTTAGCCTCAGTCTACGATGGGATCCTCCCAGCTCAATTTCCCCATTGTGTTCCTTTGAAAAGGAATGTTACCCACCTGGCTATTCCCGAGTCTGGTTATGAGGTGGATTTGATACTTCATGGTTGGAATTATCGGAATCCAAACAGAGCTAAGGATGTTTTATACTGTCATACCTGGGCCCTACAGTCTTAACTGTCAGATTTGTGTCTTCTAGACTATAGGCCATTCAGCTATAGTTGATAGCAAACAGCAGGGACCAGCCAATGTTCCCACATCATTGCCTGGATGCAGCCTGGGCTTGGTACCAGTCAGCCTCCACTTTGGGACCCCCTCGAGGCAGGGACAGCTCTACATTCCTTGCCAGCAGGAAGCAGCTTCAGAAGCCAAGACTTTTGCCCCTTACCCCAAAAGAATTTGGATCCCATTTGTTTGAGGGGGGGAATAATGAGGTTGGGATCTGGACCCCAGAAAGGAAAAATCCTGGACTTCTCACATGGCCAAATCTCTGGCATTCACCTGAGGCTATAATCCTATCCATCGTCTTACCTCCCTATGGCCCCCTCCCCCCCCCCCCCCCCCCCCCCCCCGCCACTTCCCACCCTTAATCCTAGCTCAGCTCCATTTTCCCTTGGCCACCTGGTCCAGGTCCCTGGCGTTTTATTACCTCACTGTCGTCCCCCCACCCCAGACTACTTGACTACTTCTAGATTTCTCCCACAGTCTTTCTGTATATAAGGTCCAGCTTGTCTCCATTAAGGTGCTCAGATTCTTTTAATCTAGCCAATAGCTTACTAATGTTCAGACTCCTTAAGAGTCTGACCAATAAACCTTGTCTTTGGCTGAAAGAAAGCTTGGGTAGAATTCTTTCAGGCAGAAACCACGTGTGATTTTGGGATCCCAGCACCCCTAAACCTCAACACCACCTAGTATATTTTCACCCACGCTACCTCTAAGTGCATAGTTCAGTCAACCAGTCAGTCAGTCAAGAAGCACTTATCAAGCACCTATTACATGCCAGGCACTGGTCTAAGCACTGGGGATATGAAGAAAGGCAAGAGACAGCCCCTTCCCTTGAGAAGCTCATATTCTCTCTAATCAGCCATCTTAAAGGAGAAAAAGTTTATTTGTAGGTCAAAGAAGGCAAATTGAACTCAGATGAGAAATCCTGGAAACTATCAACATCAGCTAAAGAGATTTTTCTATAGCTTCAGCCATTTGCAGTCACCCAGTAAGCAGGGCTCCCAACAGACCCTACCTTTTCATCACATGGCACCTACTACAACTCCCAGCAGGTGGTGCCCATTGGGGGTGCTCCTCCCACCCCCAATTGTCTGAGGATTACAGGAATCATTTCATAAACTAGCTCTTAGATCTCCAGCTATGTCCTCTAGTTATAGGGCCAGGTATAGACAGAGCTTGTGTTCCAAGTGAGCCTAAAGCATGTGGTGTAAATCATGAAGATGGGATCTGGACCCCAGAAAGAAAAAACTCTGGACTTTCCCACATGGCCAAACACCTGGTTTTCGCCTGAGGCTATAAACCCATCAACTGATCTTGGCTATACCCAATCTCCCAATTCTGTTACCCTTAACCTAGCCTAGCCCTCCATTATCTTACCTCCCTATGGTCCCTGGCCATTTCTCACCCTTAATCTTGACTAGACTCCATTCTCCCTTAGCCAGATCCAGGTCCCAGGTGTTCAGTTCCACCTCAGCTTACTGGCCACTCCCATTCAGATCTTCCTTAGACCCTTCCTCCAGTCACCCCAAACTACTTGGCCACTCCTACATCCTGCCCACAGTCTTTCTGTATATAAGGTCTATCTCCATTAAGATGCTCAGATTCTTAGAATCTAGCCACTGCTCAGATTCTTACAAACTCGCCAATAGCTCACAAATGCTCGGATTCCTTAAGAGTCTGGCTAATATGATGGATCTTTAATAAACCCTGTCTTTTTGGCTGAAAGGAGACTTAGGTTGAAGTATTTTGGGCAGGATTTATGTGTTGTGATTTCGGGTCCCAGAACCCCTAAACCTCAACAATCCCATTCAGTTTATCAATACCAGGAACTAGTTCTCTCTCGAGTACCTTACAAAATGCAATTAGCGATATCAAAGTAAAGACCAGTATGATCATCAGTGGTATCAATTTGCATAACAACCTTCACAAGTGTTTTGTCTACCATCCATGCACACTTAATAAATGACTTCTTCACAAAAAAAAAAACATAACAAAGGATAGAACCTTGTGGCAGCCTTCTGGCAACTCTTTTCCGGGATGGTACATATCCATTAATTGATAATCTTTGGGTCAAATCATTTAATCAGTTCTGAATCCATCTAATTGTACTATCTTCCAACCCACAAATCTCCATTTTCCCAATGTGTCATGAGATACATTGCCAAATGCCTTGTTGAAGTTGGGAATTCTATGTAGAGATCTTTTTCCTGCTAGTCTTGTAACCCTATTTAAAAAAAAAAGGAAATGAAGTTTAAATGGGATGGATTAGTACTTATGGAGCTTATCCTGGTGATCGAGATTCTTTTTTCTAAGATCTCACAAACAACTTCTTCAATCACTTGTTCTAGAGTTTTGCCAGGAACACACACCTGCAAGTTCTTTGAACATTCTAGGGTGCAGTTGGACTGGGAGAGATGATTTGAACTCTTGAAGGCATCTAAAGGTTCACTTACCTCATCCTCACTTAACAGGATTCAGTTCCCTTCTGATCCTCAGTTTATGACTACAACACTCTGGAAGAAATTGGAAAGATTTCATTGATCTAATCACATTGTTCTCACTTAATAATAAGCTTTGGACATCTTAATCAATCCACAAATATTTATTGAGTATCAAAATGTACAAAGCTCCAAAGGAGACTGAAAGACGTATAAGGCAGACCCTTTCCTTCAAGAGTTTACAACCTAGCTAGAAAGCAGAAGGGAGATATCTATAAGTGAAATCAACTAACAATATTAAAAATATATAATTCTTAATTAACTAAGTCACTAATATATAAATGTTAATATTAGAATCTAGAGGAGGAAGAGATCAGAGCCTTTGCACACGGTCACGCAAGACTGCTTCAGTGATATGGCTTTTGACCTCGGCTTCAAAGAATGGGTCAGATTTAGACAACCGAAAAGTGGGTGCTCAAGCAAGAGAAGGGGTCCCAGTCAAAGTAAAGAGGCAGGTATGCAACAAGGCATATTGGGGGACAGGCTAATGGAAGTGTAAGGCTTATGTTAGAGAATAGTAGGAGATAAATTTGGAATGGTAAATTGATACTAACTTATAGAAAGCTTTAATGACAGCTAATAGCATAGACAATGGTTGCTTTATACTGTTTTAACAACTACCTCTTTTATTATATTTTCCTTTTGCTCAAGCCTAGCAGAGAGACAGATTTATTATTTTTAAATGGATCTATAGGTTTAATTTGAAATTTTTCTTTCATATTATTATAAATTTGACAAATATCTATAAACATGAATGTTTCCATGTATAAGGAATAGCAGAAAAATCAGATTATATTTAAAACCATGAATTTATGCGTAAAGCTTACTTTTAAATATATATTAAATGTAACAAGAGTTCCAATACTGTCCTGCTTGTCTATGTCCCCTTTGTAATTTTCTTCTGCTTTTTTCTATTATTTCAATTAAAAAAATTTTTATTTTCAGTTCCAAATTCTCTTCTTCCTTCCTGTCTTAAAAATGTTTCATTAATATTTTTCTTTCTTTTATGCTTTTGACATCATTGTCACAATCTCCTCTTCCTCCTCCTCTTTTCTTTTTCTCTCTTTGTCTCTCTCCCTCCCTCTCTCTCTCCATGAATCTCTTGCGAGTACAAAAAGCCTCTCCTTGTAACAAATATAGTAGAGCAATGAAAATCTACACATTATCTGCGTCTTAAAAATGTATCATTCTGTGCCTCTAGTCCATCACTGTTTTCAGGTAGGGTACCCTGGTCCACAGGTTACAAATTCTTTTATAAAAATTAAGACAACCACTCGTGTGATTGTAAGCTAAGATAAAAGCCTTTATAATTACAAATGACCTAGTTCATTGTAAATCTTCTGATATTGTGATTGGTCATTGTATTGCTCATAGTTCATAAGTCTTTCAAGGTTATTTTCCTTTACAGTGTAGTCGTAGACATAGTAGTAGTAGTAGTAGTAGTAGTAGTAGTGGTAGTAGTAGTAGTAGCAGCAGCTAGCATTTATGTAGTTCTTACTATGTGCCAGGCATTGTGCTAAGTGCTTTACAATTATTATCTCATTTGGTCTCACAACAATGTTGGGAGGTAGGTGCTATTATTATCCTCATTTTACAGATGAGGAAACTGAGACAAGTGGAGTTCAGTCATTTGCCCAGGGTCACACAACTAGTGAACATCGGAGGCCAGATTTGAACTTGGGTCTTTCTGACTCCAGGTGCAGTGGTCACCGCTGTATTACGTAGCCGGTTCTGCTCACGTCACTCTGCATCAATTCATGTAAGTCTTCCCACATTTCTCTGGATGTGTCCCTTTCATTATTTCTTATAGCACAACAATATTCTATTTCATTCACATATTGCATTTCATCCAACCATTCCCCAATTAGTGGATACACACACTAAAAAAAGTTCTTTCTGTAGCAAAATGTGATGCTATAAATATATTTGTGCACACTGGTCTTTTCCCTCAGTCTTTGGTATGTTTGGGTTAAGTGTCTAATTAATGGTAATTACTCGGTCAAAGGAAGAACACAGTTCAGTGATTTTTTTTCAGTATAGTTCCAAATTGTTTTCCAGAATGCCTGGATCAATTCACATATTTATATGTTGCCTATTTTCTCACAGCCCATCCACCAATTTTCCTTTTCCTTTTTTTGTCATCTTTGCCAATCTGATGATGGTGGGGTACAATTTCATATTTGTTTTCATTCATGTTTCTCTTATTATTAGAGATTTGGAACATTCTTTAATACATTTGCTGATAGCTTGCATTTTTTCTTTTGAGAACTACCTTTCAATATCCTTTGACCACTTATCTATTGGAGAATAGATCATTTTCTTATATATCACTTTCCTATATATCTTGCATATCAGAAACTTGCCTAGAGTTCTTTCAGTACAGTTATTTTTCCAACTTGTATTAATTTTTTTTGGAGTACATTCATCTGAAGAAAATTCAATGAAATGCTTCAATTTAATTCAGCAGACATTTATTAAGTACCAATTATATGAAGACACTATTCTAGACACTTGAGAAGAAAAAAAAATTTTTTTAAAGAAACAGTTCCTGCTCTTATTGGCCCTTACCTATCCCTCCCTTAGAGAAATAAAACATGCATACTAGTAAATAAATACAAAATACACCTAAAAGTAACACCACATGTTTTTAAGAAGGAGAGTTTGCTATCCTTCTTGAAGGATAAGGAAAAGTTTTGTACAGGAAGTGAAACCTGAGCTATTCTTTGGAGGAAGCTTTAGGGATTCTATGAGATGGAGGTGAGGAAGAAATTCCTGCCAGCCAAGGGGGACACTTGTGTTAAGGCATGGGAGCAAGAGATGTAATGTCATGTGAAGAGAAAAGAGAAGTTCATGAAGAATAGTAATATTAAGTAAGCAATAAGGAGTCTTTGAAGATGTATAAGTAGCTAAGTGACATAGATGTGTGTTTTTTAAAAAATAATAAATTTAGCAGTAGTGTGGAGGATGGACTAGAGACGGAAGAAACAATCCCCACGTTCATTAGAATAGTAACGTTTTGCTTTTATTTTTTAATTTTCTCTTTGTCAAACTACCTCCTCTCTTTATTAACAATAATCTTTTTTCTTTTTTTTGGAAATTGAAAAGAAAGCATGAATTATCCTTAGTGTTTATTTTCTGTTTCTTTCATTTTAAAAGTGTCTTCTTTCATACTAGAAACCCATATCTATTTGTTAATGATTAATAATAGAATTATGCTTTTTCTATCCCTTATCACTAACTTGTGTTGAAAGTTTGATATAAAATTTAAAAACTTTCCAACAACTAAATGAATATAATAATACATTAACAAATTTGCAGTAGATTTATATTTGAAAAAATATTTTTGTGAGAGAAAAAAAGTGTCCATAATCTAAGATAACATGAATAATGCTGAATTTGGAGGCAGAAGATGTGGATTCTAATTTGAGCTCTGCCATTTACTACCCATATGACCTTGGGCAAGTAGTTTCATCTTTCTGCTTCCTCATCTATAAAATAAAAGGGTTAGAGTCAATGACTTTCAATGTCCCTTCTGGATCTAAACTTATGGGTCTACGAATTGAGCTTTTATAGATAACATTTTTAAAAAATACATGCTTTCATGAAAAATAAGAAATGTCAAATGATTCATCTTCACGGTTTTATAAATGCGACTGAAAGACCCAAGGAGAAGGTAGAGGAAAAAAACAAAGCCAAAGTTTCTGTCCTTTTGAGGGGCATTTCTGGAACTGGAAGTCTATTTGTCCATAGGGAGCAAATCATAAATAGAAACTGAGGCAATTCAGTGAACCACATTGACTCCATCTTGTGACTCAATTCTGGATCTAGCGCAATTCCTTTTTTATTCAGTTATGGACTTAGTCCAATTATGATCTTGTGAGAAAACTTTATTCAGTTATGGGAATTGGGAGAAAACTTTTTTGCATTGTTTGAACCTAGCCCCTAATCTTTCCTCCAATTAGAAATCAGATTACCTAATCTTGCATTCTGGTTTATATCCAGCTAATTGTTTTCTTTTAATGCATAAAAATCTATCTACTCCTTCCAAACTGAAGAGGCCTCAATTGGCATGCATTGCTTACTAAAGTAATATGCTCAGAAGCTCAAACCTTTGTTTCCTCAGTTATTTCAGATTCTACCTCTCTCACAACAGTATAACTTCTTCTGAAATACTGTAACTTAGTAGTAACTTGAGAAGGCCTACCATATGTAGAGGTAAACACAGTATGCATTTCTAATTCATTGACTTATGTGGCAGAATAAGAGACAGAGTTTTCAAAATTCCTCATATCTATAAGGAAAATCTTTAGCTGTTACATAGAATAATAATGCTGTTGTCATTTTTTTAAATCGCAAAGACTTTCATCTCAGATTATAATCTTACTAATGGTTGTCTTAATTTTTATGAAACAATGTTTAACCTGTGATCTAGCATCCCCTCTTTACCCCTTGCCAAAAGACTCTAGGTTTGCATTGGACTCCCAAGACGGTTGTTAAATCTCTTGGCTAGCCTTAAGGAAAGAGCTTTCTAAAACTGAAATTGGCTAGAGTACAAGTGGTCCTGCATTTCCCTAATATATTTAAAATTGTTCCACAAAAACTTCCTAGTGTACTCATAGCTACTGTCTAGGTCTTTCCAAATATAAGTAATAGCATCCCCAGCTCCCAGACAATACTTAAGCTACAGAATGGATATAGGGTGTAGACGGCATTTATTTCACCACAAAGCTCAGAGAATTCACAGGAGACAGATACAGATACAGAAACATAATGTGTTGAAATAGTATATCAGTTTCTCCTAGAAGGAAATAAAACATTGAGATTGCCAATAATGCAACTTTCTAGCATTCAGGTCAAAAATCTCTCTCCCATGTAGTCATATGTAGTCCCTCAGCCTTGAGAGTGATTCGGGAGCCAGACATAGGAATTGAGTTACACACCATAGCTCTAAAAGAAACCCAACCTTTAAGAAGTAGATTGAGAGAAACAAAGGGGACCTGGACCTCAAGAGTCAGAAAGAATCCTCAGCACAGGGGCAATATGCCAAAGAAGAAAGAAAAAGTAAAGCTGATATAAAAAAAAAAAGGAGAGATCAAGCAAGGCCATTGGCCTCCACAGGCATCTCAGAGCAGAAGCCTTGGACTGAAGGCACCAGTTATAGCCACCCTCTCAAGGACTAAAGGAAGTTAAATGAACAGGTCTGCTCTTCACCCAAACTGACTTCCTGGTGCCTGTCCATTAATAGGCACTGTAACGTGCCCTAATTTTTTCTTTACCTTCTAACTTGAATCTTGGTTCAATTATATAGAAGTGAGGGGTTAGCTAAAAATAAACGTCAATTCAAATTAGAGGAGAAAGCCAAACTTATGCCTAAATTCTTATACCTACAAGAAAACTAGGGGCTCAAAGCTGTTGTAATAACACTCCTAACATTGTTACTCCCTAAACTCCTTGAGCAGGTCATTTACAGTAGACATTTCCACTTCTCCTCTCACTCTCTTCTTAACTCTTTAAAGTTAGACTTCTGACATCATTATTCAACCAAAACTGTTCTTATCAAGTTCCAGTGATCTCTTAATCACCATACCCAAATGCCTTTTCTCAATTCTCTTCCTTCTTGACCTCTCTGCAGCCTTTAATACCCTAAAGTATTTAATTAATTTTTGTTAATTTAGTTAAAATTTAAAAGTATTTAATTAAAATTAATTAAATTAAATTAATTAACACTTTAAAATGTTCACAAACAACGTACAAGAGTTTTATGAAGGTCAAACAAGTCTCTGCTATATCAAAGTGCTACTTGGAAGGTCAGCTGACTTTTTTTTCTTTCTATAAAAAATAAAAATTTTATCTTTGTCCAAGGAGTTTCTTCTTCTGGTTTGGATTAGACTAGATGGCCTCTGTACTCCCTTTCAAATCTGAGGTTCTGACATCTTATGAATATAAAATACTAAATTATTCCATTCACAAAATATTTAAAGTGATGTATTCCCTCTAACAACATTGCCCAACTTATGCTATATTGTCAAATATATTTATTTTTTGAATGAAATTCAAATTTGGCTGTTAATTGTTAAATACTTACTTTGTGCTAGGCAAGAGAGGCAGTGTGAAACAGTAGCAAGAAACCTGTCCTGAGTCAGGAAGACCTATGACACATACTGGCTAGGTGACCTTGAGCAATCCACTTAATATCTCAGTGTTCTAGACAGCAGTGTGAAACTCAAATACAAACAGACACTGCTGGCTACATATTGATTTAGAAAACCACAAACAAACATTATCTATGTTGTCAATTTTTATTTTGTTAAATATTTCCCAATTATGTTTTAATCTGGTTCTATAGTACTGAGGAGTTTTGTGGGGCTTGTGGCCCATAGGCCCTTTTAAGAAAATTATTAATTTTGAACTTAAATATATAGACAAAAAAGGAACATTTCCATGTACATAAAAAGAGGATTCAATATCAAACTATACATTTCCATTTTACACTGTTCACTATTTTTTAAACTACATAGTAAGTACTATAAATTGTTTTCAAAGCTACCCTGTTTTTCTGTGCTTCCTTCTAAGTTTTCTTTTGTTCTCTGATGTGCCTTGAGTTTGATACCTCTATTCTAGATAACTCTCTAATCCCATAAGTTTCTGGGAAGGTAGAAATCTGCATTAACAGACGGTAATTGCCCCACCCAGGAATTTCCTATGATACCAGTGAAGTCACATGTCCAGCCCCTGTACTCACCCTATTAAGTTATGTCCGGTTGCCCTTGAATTGGGTGAAGGAAATTCACCTAACTACGAAATCACAGACACTTGATACATTGATGTGTTAGGCACTACAAGAATGGGGGAAAAAAAAGACTGCAAAGCACACGTGAAGTAGCAGGATGTATCAGCTCCTTTATGGTGCATATCTGCAAATCCAGTAAAGGAAAACATATAAAAACTAAAAAAAGCAAGTTTAGTATAAGCAGGGCTGTAAATGAATAACACTGATAGGTAGTATTATTCCTGGTTACAAGGTTCATTTAACACATTTCCTCTCTCATAGTTACGTGGTCAGATTTCCATCATCTAGAATCTGCCCAGGGTAAGGTAGCTGTAAATGAAATATATTTACAAATTAGGTTGTTCATAAAAAAAAGACTCATTTTATTATATCCATGTCCCAGAAATCCTTTTATAATTTAGCCTTCTACTTGTTATTGAGTCGTTGTCATGGCTGACTCTCCACAACCCAGATTTCAGGTTTTCTTGGCAAGATACTAGAGTGGTTTGTCATTTCCTTCTTCAGCTCATTTTACAGATGAGGAGCTGAAGCAAACAGGGTTAAGTGACTGGTCCAGGGTCACACAGCTAGTAAGTGTCTAAGGTCAGATTTGAAGTCAGGTTATCTTGTCTCCAGGGCTGGGGCTCTATCCATCTTACCCTTTAGCTGCCTTACTTTTTCTTGTACTTCTTTCAAATAGCTGGAATGTTAATGAATGATTTTAATAATTTTTTCCACATGTATACTCTTCTATAGTCCAGATATTTTACCTGTATTTTGATATGAACTTATAAAACATTATAGTGATTTATTTGTTTCTATTCTGATGGTGATCAGCATTTTTCCTGTTGAAGAATGCTGAGTGGGGAAACCAATTTTTTTTTTTGGATGGGGATGGGAGTTGCTTCTATTTCTCCAAAGATATTTCTTTCACTGTTATTTATGCAAGGCTACATAATTGTGCCAAAATGCTACCCTAATTTCCACTTTATTTTCAAGTGAGAAAATAATTTTCTTGATAGGAATGAACTAAGTATTCATATTTTCAAAGGCTACTTCATATCCCTGTTAGAAAGCCCAGGAAAATTATATCCCCTTGTGGCTAGGAGGAAACCTGGAGTAGTAGTGAGAGCTGCCCTCAGAGTAAGGAAATCCTGAATTCCAATATTGCCTCTGACGTATACTGTGTTTCCCTGGGCAAGCCACTCAATCTTTCAGTGTCTGAGACAGTTCTCTAACCCTATATATATAAAGGTAGAAGGGGCAGCTAGGTGGTATGGTGGAGAGAGTACCAGGAGTTAAGAAACTCATCTTTCTGAGTTCAAATCTGGCCTCAGACATTTACCAACTCTGTGAACCCAGGCAAATCAAAATTACCCCTGTTTGCCTTAGTTTCCTCACCTGTAAAACAAGCTGGAGAAGGAAAAGGCAAACTTTTCCAGTATCTTTGCCAAGAAAACCCGAAATGGGTTCACAAAGAGTCAGACATGACTGAACAAAAACACCAACAATAAAGGTGGAAAGGTGACCAGATCATATATCCAATGCCATCCCATCTTTTGTAGCATAGATCACCTCTGAAATACAAACACATTCTTGGCACTGTGCCTAAGACAACAGTGGTTAGAATTTAGCCAAGACAAAGAATCAGGGTTGTTATGCTGCAGATAATTTGTAATAATTGACTTTGTCAATCTAATAATACAGCTCTTTACAGACATTTTCTAATTTAGGGTTTACAACAACTCTGTGAGGTAGACACTACAGGTTTTCTTATCCCCATTTAACAGATGAAGAAACCAAGACTCAGAAAGGGTTAAGTCTCTTGCCCAGTTTTACACAGTTAATAATTGTTAAAGCCAGGATTTGAACCCAGGTCTTCCTGACTCCAAGTCCATTAATCTATTATATCACCCTGCAAGGAGGTGAATTGAAGAAATAAGTCCTGTAGAACATAATTTTAACTGCAAAAGTAAAAATAATTACAATTTGTTTGCAGATTACAAAGCACTTTACCCTAATCCTCTCCTTTGACACTCACAACAACCCTATGAGTTAGATAGGACAAAAGATTATTATCTTTCATTTTACAGAAGAAGAAATTGAAGCTCAGTTTCCCAATGCCATCCAGTTACTAAGAGACATACCTGGGATCAAAACACAGGTTTTCTGATTTCAAATCCAGTGCTCTCACCACATCAACAAATCATATGAAGAGGGAGATCTCTCTGGATTATAAGAAAGGTTAACAACATAGCGAATAGCAATGTTTTGACAAGCTGGCTTCAGTAAAAACTCAGATTTGTATAAATCTTTAATGCAATTAATACATGCCTCTACTCCTTCCAAAAAGAAGGTTAAGACCTGATACAAATTTCTCTCCTAAAGTGTGCCCCACCTATACTACCCATAGCTAACATCTCACAGTTATATAAACCAGTTTTTGTATATTCACATTAGGTTGATTGTCTTCTGTTCTTGAGGAGGACCAAAATGGTATCTCTATGCCAGAGTCAAATTTCAAGGCACCCGACTGTGGCTGATCAGACCAATATGAGCTCAGAATGCTCTACCAGAGGTTGGACACAAATAGTCCATGTGAACATTTGGGGTGGATTCTCTAAATTTGGGTATGTCACATTTATTTTGACCTACTTCAATTCTACTTTGCTCATAAAGCACAACACTTTCTCTGATGAGGGCAAGCTATGCTGGGCTGCCCTGTGCCAGTGTCTCCCATGTCACACAATCAATTCCAAAGTTCTTAAGAGCAACCTTGAGAGTGTCCTTGTCTTGCTTCTTCTGATCCACCATGTGAGTGTTTGCCCCTGTATGAGTTCTCCATAAAAGTCTTTTAGGCAAGTGTAGGTCTTGCATTCGAACATCCCTCAGTTGTATAAACATACACACACACACACACACACACACACACACACACACACACACATACACTCAAATACCCCACATGTTATTTCCAGAATCCTCTAATGCCGAACTCAAAGTCCCCTCAACCAAAAGGTGAGTTTAATTTATTTGGCTAGGATGATCAATTTAAGAGAAATTGGAATAAGTTAGGAAAGAATCATGATCTTGGGATCAAGGGATAGGCTTGAGTCCCATCTCTAACATTTAAATAATCATGGGCAAGCCAATGGAACCTCACTTTCCTCATCTGTAAAAGGGGATACTATTGTGCTATGTAACTCTCAGGAATGTGTCTTGTAAACCAGGAAGCACTACGTAGCTATTATTATTATTATTATTATGACAAGTGATAATATGAGGAAAAATCTTCAACCCACCAACTTTAAATTAAATGAATGGTTCTAAAACATTATTCTTATGTAATGGAAGGACTGGACAATGAGGGCCCAGTCCTTACAGCAGGCTCAGATTGGCCCTTCCTGATGAGTTATATGGAGCATGTGATGATATTCCTTACCTGGTTTTAATCCAACATGTGGAATTTTGGGGAGCCAGTTTCTAGCCATAAGTTATTGAAGGGGGATGGATTAGTGTGATGAAAAAATCTTTTAATTTGCTGCAGAGCTGGAAATGCCAATGATAAAGAAGTCCTGAGCTGGGACTGAGTTCACACACAAAAGGAAACACAATGATTTCTCAGTCTCTTTTCCTTACTTGTCACCAAGTATGGCAAGGACTGACACAGAGTATGCTAAAAATGAGGGAGGGCTGCTGCCCTATCTCTCATGTACTCACCATATGTCACAGGCATAGCACCTTTATGCTTTTGTGTTCGTTCTTCCCTGATCTTAAATGAATGAAGATTCTGAAAGGATACTTTGTATGGGTTACTGGGAGATCCATCAAAGCCATCACTGGTCCCACCTGCAACTGTAATTAATAGCAGGGCCACCAGAAGAGTAGAGGCTGATAAGAAAGGAAGTACCTTAAGACAGAAATGGAAAGAAAGTCACCTGAGCATGGTGACAGCTTCATTCATCATGACCCTCTATGAAAGAGAGAATTGGGCATTGATCCTCAGAGCCCAGCACAGAATTATACCTAAAGGGAAACTCCTGAGAACTCCACAAAGGTAAAAAGAACTTTTGGGACCAGGAAATGAGAGGTACCCCTTGGTCACATTTGTTTTCTGCACATGTGCCTCATTACCATTGTATTTGAAGTTTGTACCCACTCTCCCCAGGCATCTTATGTGTACAAGGGGAGAGGGCACATCAGAGTTTGGGGAGAATATTTTTGAAATTATTCTTCTTATTATACTGCTTTTTAAAGTAAACTGAGAGCTAATAAAATTCTACTGATTGATTGATTATAGGGACTAATGCAGATGGAGGCTCAGGACCTACAAATCCCAGCCCCTCAGCTATCCATAGAATCCTGAGGATAGTAGTAGTC